AAATATATATATATATATATATATATATATATATATATATATACATTTTCTGGTACGTGTAATAGTAGTCAGTACTGTGGTACTCCAAAATAGGTAGAAGTAGTAATACTTACTTTTTGTAAGGATCAAAACTATTTTTTAAACAAATTTCTCAATGAAAATATATAATCTTACCTGAACAAGTTGTCTAAAAACCAATGCATATTTTCGAGGGACGTTTTTTAAATTTCAAACCTTTGTCATTTCTTCACTTTGGTTTAAAAGGTCATTTTGTGCCTTTTTTTTATCATGAAGGTACACTGTGTAAATGTTCTTTGATCTTTCAGTGTTGCCAATAGATCCTACTGAGGATTAACTTAAAAAAAAAGAAGAAGATCAGGAAAAAGCCAAACCAAAGGGACAGCATACTCACAGCCTCGTAGTCAGCCAGCTCCAGTCGGGCTTTATTCTGCATGGTGCGCTTGCACAGGTAAATGGCTGGAGGGAGAAAGTCACAGAGAGGACACAGCAGAAATGAATGAAGAGGAAGAGGATTATGTGAATTGCACGAAACAAAGAACGAAAAAAATAAGACAGAAAAACAGCATGTCTGCTGATGTCGGCTGCTCTTTTTTTCACTGAGGTCTCAGCTGCGTGAACTGGAGCTAATGAACGTTCAACTGGAGCAGTGCAGCAGTTGTGTGTCATCTTCTGAAATAACAAGCTTGGCGTAAATGTCACGCAGAGAGAAGGCGGTGTGACCACATCAGCCACTCTGCCTATTTTGTAAAGCTAATAATGTCCCACAGGATCCTCCTCAATGGCTGCTCCTCAGGGACATGATTCACTGTACGGTACATCACAGGGGAGGCGTCACCTCCTCATTGATAGTGAGGGAGCGTCAACGTTTCAGCTCCGGCAGGAAGATGCACAGGTGAAAGCCTTGTTTGGAGCACGGTAGACGACAGACACAGGCAGGAAATGACAGACAGTGTGTGTGACTCACCGTAGTCTGTGTTCTCAGGCTCCCAACAGTTGGAAGGCCAGAAGTACGGAGACTGATGAAAGAAGGAAGGAAGAAAACAGAAGCAGCTTTGGTTTATAGACGTACACAGACAGCAGTGGTTAATTATGTTCCCCCCAAGACGCTGAGAGATAATTTACAATTTGATATAATTTTATGGATCCTCTCTCTCCCTGTCTGTCTTTCACACACACACTCACACACACAGAGTCAGTCTACCCTGTGTGTAATAATGAGCCTTGACGTGCATGTGCTAGACACAGCCATCAGGGGAGCAATGGTAACTACATTCTGTCCATGCATATTTAAATGTCTGTTGCAACTTATATTTTACATTCGTTCAAAGTTCATTTCCAAGTTCATCAATAATGGATGGCCCTCATTTGTCCCGCATTTTTTGTAAAAAAAAAAAAAAGAAAGAAAAAAAAAGACTTGAATAAGAAGATGGTTTGACTCAGGCTTCATTCTTCATGTCACTATTTCTCATTTTAATAATTTCCCATACTGATGACAGTTACAGTGAGGGGTTACAGAGGCGTTCATTTAATGAGCAGAGAGATTAACGTTAACTGTCATTTGGCCCTGTGATAGGCACATACATTTTAGAAAAGAAAATATAGGTTGAATATGGCAGGGGGTTCCAACTCCTGGTCCGCAGGCCTGTATTAGTCCGTAGGTAATTTGTATTAATTTACTTCATACAAAGAGAATCCTGCCATACCCATTTACGTTCTTCATTTTGAATTAATCTGGCAATGTTTTAAAATGTAGTCATTCCGACTCCAATACTACCAAAATAAAGCCTCAAAGAAGTTTTATTTTGAACATTTAATGAGTCTTCAACAATTGGCACAGTGCTACTGGTGCGCATCAGTCCTTGTTGTAAAAATGGTTGGGGACCACTGAAATATGGTAATTATTATATTTTAGGTTGCTGTTTTTTGAGGTCTCGTTAGAAAAAGAAGAAAAAGAAATAATGATAATTTTAAAGCTTTTTCACCTTTTTCATCCATTCATTTTTAAAAGTTAACATAACAATTATCTTCAATGCTTGCAGTTTTTAAGGTCAAGGTGTCTTAAAGATCTGGACCTTCCCTTAAAAAACCCCAGGTGTGTTATGTACTGAAATTTTAGAACCACTAACTGCAGCTTGTTCACTGTCTTTCAAGATATTCAAGATACGCCTTTACGGACGTCATGACTCAGGGCAGCCACCCTGACAAACGTGGTGACGTTGAAGGATTTCCTCCAGAAGGTGGAAACAAACTGTTACATAAAAACATGCGGCTACAGCTGGGCTGCAACCACATCCTCAACACCGAAAGGTGAAAAAATCTAGGTTGAACCACATGTTCCTGTACTTGTCCTATTAACAGTTCTCTGGGTTCTTTAACTACAGAACCACACACTGATAACGCACTAACAAACAACTGTATGTGTCTGCATCCACATGCTGTAAAACTGGGGAGAAAAAAAAAGAAAAACAGAAGAAAATATTCATTTAATCTGAGTCCTCTGCAGTGTGGTGTCTATTTTTAACCATCTCATAAAACCCCCTGTTACTGTTACTGTTACTGTTACTGTTACTGTTACAGTGCAGCCACAGAGTAAAGCCAAGTGTGTTTCTGTGGACTACTTTTTTAGAGCATGTGATGACGTGGGGTTGTTGCATCACAACATCAGGGGAATATTTTTAGCCACAGCTGAATGACTATGTGTGACACATGCTGCACCCCCCTCCTCCCTCCATCATCCCTTCCCCTCTTTCCTGTGCAGGAACAATGGCAGCTCTTAATCTTTTGCAATAGACTTGAAGAGAAATGCATTCTGAGGTAATAAGAAAATGCTGGAGGAGGAGGAAGAGGAGGAGGAGGAGGAGTGTGGGGTTCAGCCCTGTGACAGGAAAAGTGCACAGCCAGCGAGTGATCCGCTCGGAGCAGCCCATAGGGGAGCCTGCCTACTGTAGCCGGCTCGATTGAGATGCAAATGGCTCAGTCACAGTAATGAGTCATCACTGAGCCTGTGGCCACGAGAGCCTCCTGTCAAAGTTCATGCTGGATCAGATGGAATATGGGGGGTGGCGGTGGGGGGACAACATCTCAGTGGAACGCTGCTCTCGACCCACGGGCCTCTTCCTGTGGCCTCTGTCCTTCCCTGCCTTTCATGGGTCTACAGTAATGACCTTGCTGAGAAAAACATTTAACATAAACACGTCCCACTTGTAAAGTACCGTCATTTTATTCAGTATGTAAAACCCTCCTGGAAGTTCATCGCTGACAGAAGAGGCTTGTAGGAGATTTGTGTACCTGAAAGCGATAAAGTGTTCCGTCGTCTTTGAGCATCAGGACGTGGTCAGAGATGGGGAAAATGTAGCCGTGCGCCGCGATCAGACTCCCCAGGTGGATGGCCTCGGCTTCGGCCATGAAAGAAAGGGCACACAGAATAACAGGGGTTGCAGGTGAAATTACATGTCACTTCAAGTGAGGTTCTTTCGTGCGTACATGTGGTGACAAATTTCACAGCAGGCATACCTGGATCTTCAATGGAGAGGTTTTTCATCAGCCACTGAACAATGTCGGCCCCTGGTGAGAGTGGGACACCGGTTAGAGGTGGCGTCACAGAATTACATCTGCAGCAGGTTTGACAAAGGCAACAATCCCCCAATACAAATGGACCGTGAAGAGGTCAGTGTTGTTCTTCTCTTTTCAAAGATATTTGTCAGAGCTGGGAATAATTTGAACTCCTTTCCTTTTAGTACACTGTTACAAAAAAGTTTGTTTTCTTGTAAATTCCTGCCTATGATGTTCCATTATTAGTACTGCTGTCCTTCAGGTATAATTTTTTAGTGTAATCAATAACAGTTAAGATGTAACTGTGATTACCCAGTAACTATGATTACTCGAGATTGATTATGATTGATTGTGATTAATTGTGATTATTCGCGATTATTTGAGATCAGCACTTTAACCCAGTAAAAAGAGCTTTTTTTTTTCTTCTCTCTGTCTTTCTGCCCTCTCCTTCTCTCCGTACACCTCTGCCCCCTCTGGACACCACATTATTTTGCGCGACATTTACAACCTGGCAAAGGCAGCTGGGAGCGAGCGTGACTAACTCAGGCCTGGAGGCAACATGTAAAAGGACTCACTCGGAAACAGCCGCTGGGAGAGAAATAGAGAGGGAACGACTGCCTCGTCCAACACTGGTGACTCACTTCACACACACACACACACACACACACACACAGGAGTGCAGTGCCCAAATAACCTTTTTATGAATTGTTGTTACAAGAGCGGCGTCAGACCATTGACTGAGACGGGGTCTTTTTTTATCATCGTCTTTGTCCAAAAAGTCATTTATTAATTTACACACATTAGAGGGGACAGGATGTATAAAGGTGAGGATAGATGCAGTATTCTTAAGTATAAGTACACACACACACACAGGAACACTGTAATACTCACCTGATACCACGCTGGGGATTTTGGACAGGAAGCTTTTGACAGTCCTGATGGCTACACCGCCTGCATTCTCATCTTGTATTCGTGTAACAATGTCTTCAATCTGCGGAGGTCAGAGGGCGAGAGAGAGAGAGAGAGAGAAAGAGAGGCTTTGAGTAATTTCATGTTTATGTTTAAGGGCTCACACACCCCCACTCCACAGACATAGAGTTTGCCTGGACACTAGCATGGTGAGGTGGTGGGTTCGATTCCACCTCCACACCATGATTCCCAGAACAGGGTTGGTGTTCATGATCATGAGTTGGATTTTTAGATCGAATCCAGCCATAAGCAATCCTTAATTTTTTTTATTATCATTTGCTTTTCTTCCATATTATTTGAATTTATTTTACTTCCATAAATTTTCTATTTGTGCATTTAGCAGCCACTTTTATCCAAAGCAACCTACAAGAGAGTGAGGCACCGTTAGGGACATGTGGTTCCTCTGGGAATCGACCGCAAGACTCTTTGCTTTTTGCTTGCAAGGCAGGCGTGCTAACCGCTACACTATGGAAACATCTATATATAGATTTATATGTATAGATATACAGAAAACAATGAGGCAAAACATGGATCTTAAGTCCCCGTGCAACCTCAGCCTGCAGCTAGTGTAGCTAAGTCTATTAATATATATACGGTCTATGGTTTTGTGCTGTTCACAGAACAGAACGTTCAGAGAAACTTGATTTTTGTCTCAAACACGGTTAAAGCCAGACAGAGTCACAACAACACACTGGTCCAGAACTGTGTCATTTCTGATCATTTAAAAGATCCACTGCTTTGACTTCTCTAGTTACACACCAGCGTATACCCTGTGTGTGTATGTGTGTGTGTGTGTGTGTGTGTACGATAACCACACAGTGGGTGGATTTAGCTGAAATAAGGGCCTTGGCCAGAAGCGCTGGCCGTCACGCTGCCTCTTCACAGACGGAGATAAACATCACACCTCTGAAGAAGTCTGAGCCACCGACACATCACACAACGGCTGCCTAAAATTAGGAACGGCACAGCTCGCCACTCCACCGCTGCACAGCAGAGAACAGATCTGAGGAGCGTGCCAACGTGCAGTCACTCCAGGACATGAACACACACACCGGCACTTACAGACCAACAAACCGCAAACAAACACATGAAAAGATTTAAACATCAAAATGTACTCAGCCGGGGTCAAATATTGATGTCAGCAGCAGCGCTGTGAAGCTGCTGGAGTCGTACCAGAAATCAATCCACATCAAAAAGAGAGCGATTTTGCACAACGCGCTGCATCATCAGCAGCCAACCGTGAGCGGTACAGTAGCTGCTAAAGCCGCTGCACTGGCTATTTAATTCTTTATGACACCCTCAGCATCTGTCTAGTAAGTAGGAACGCACGCACACACACACACACGTACAGTATATGCACAGCAGTTTGCTACACTACGTCCAATTGATAGGGCAAACTTCACAGCACAGGCCACGGACTCGACAAAACCCAGAATATATCACGCTTTCCCGCTTTACCAAACAGGATGAGCATTTATTGTTTACAGTCTAGTGCTGACCACGCTTGTACCAGAAATGTTGAATTTGAACAAAGGCAGCAACTCTTTCCTGCATGGAATAAATACAAAAATACAGCAAAATATGAGAATAATGTTTTTACACAAAATAACCAAACTGAATGTTTCATTCAATTTAACAGTAGGTTTTGGGGGTTGATGCTGCTCGTCTTAATTGTTGATTTACATTCCTGAGGATGCCAAGAGGTTGGGTCATACAATTAATGTGCATTATGGGAAATGTAGTTTATGTTGAATTTTATGTTGTCACATTTACAACAGAAAGAAAGAAAGAAAGAAATAACAACAAATAACAACAAAACAACCATCACAGCCTCACGCGGTGTTCAGACTCGTGCTACTCCAGAACACCGTCAGGATGCTCCTCCCCCTTCATTCATCATTTTAACCCAGCTGATCTGTGAGGGACTCAAGCACTTGAAAAGGTTAAGGTTAAATCCATACTTCAAGGTTGAGAGCAGGTAGGATGAAGGATGGAAAGCTGATCCTCCATCTGCTAATTTCTCCTTGTCCAGTCATGTGATCTCAGCCGTCAATCAAAGATGCACCAGCGCAAATATTTTTTTCACGTAACATTTTATTTCAACTGAATTCATATTGATTAAAGTGAAATATTACAGCTGTTTTAGACTGTGTGTGGTGTTTTTAATGTTCCAGAACATGTTTAGTGTAAAAACGCTATAAAACTGCTGTGATATTGTTCCTCCTCAGATGATTACAGTCTTGTTCCTGTTCGTTGTAGGGGTTGTTCAGCGCTTACTCCGTCAGCAGAACACTTCTAAAGATAAGAATGGGGTGGAGTAAAGAAAACAACAGGCAGAGTGCAGCACATTCACTGAGCCAACGTTACAATCAAATACAATCATTCCACCTGGCAAAGCATTAAAGAGATGATTTATTCTATCGCCCAACCAAACACCCAGATGTATATGGATTTAATAATACACATAACACAGAGCGCAGAGGAAACAGAGAGCGTCAGGACGATTACCAATCTCTCACCATGAGCCGGAGAGAGTCTTGGCATGAATTATTGAACATCCACCAGAGGAGAATTACTGCTTCAAGTCTGTTGACAAACCTCTCAGAGGGCGGAGGAGAAGTTGCATCTGTGTCCTGTGTTCTGTGTCATCACAGCCTTCATACCCACGGCCCTCGATTTTCTACCCGTGAGCACGTACACGGAATTACAACAGCGCCATCAGGTGCACGACAGATTAGCATTGAAACATTGTAATCTTCCCTTTGATGCTGTGAACCGACCCTGTGTCTAAAACAATGGAGACAAAGCTTCGGGAAATCGTCAGTGTTTCTCGATCATCTCTGAAAGGACTCCTAAATCCCCGGGGGACACAACAACATGGAAGGGATTACGTTCCTTTGTTCTCACGTGTTAATGGACATTGGACTGAGTGCAGCGGCGAGAGGAAGAGAGGACTCGTTATCTCTGTCTCTCCATAGGATGAAAGAGGACAAGAAGCACTTGAAACAAGTAAAGACAGTGGACATCATATCTGCCACGCGCAAGCTAATGGTGTTGGCGGCCCGGAGCGAGGGGCTTCGGAGAGGCCAGTGTTACTGTGAAGCTGTGATAACAGCACTTTGCTCCTCGCTGCCCCCCTCTATAAATGATTATCAGGAGGACACTCGTGTGTCTCTGTCACCGGGAACGTATGTTTGCTTTCGTAGCGCACACACGTTGAAGTCTGTACCACCGCATTCGTTGGTATGTGTAGTGGGTTCTTATCTTTCTACAGCTCTGAGGGCAACACTAACTCTGTGTAGAGGTAAAGGTCAGAGGTCAACAACTCAAAAGTTAATGTAGATAAAGTAGACAGTACAGTTAGAAAAAAATCTACAACTTTCCATCAGGACAAGTCTACAAACATCAATGTCCAAATATGGCAGCACTTCCTGTTACATGGTTTTGTAATTGGAAGGTAATGAACGGAAATAACATCATGTAAATGGAGACGGTGGTGGCAAAAAATAGCCATTAAATAAATGAAAACTGTCAAAGACGCTCGCTTCTCCGGCTTCTCTCTCTTTTCTTTTTTTTACCAAGATGAAAAAAGGATGAAGCTATTAAAAACTGGCTCATCTTCAGGAATGAGACTGCCGCTTCTAAAAGACGGATCGGGCCGTAATAGAGTCATCAATGATTCAGCAGTCATCAACAGACTCAGACACAGTTTTGTCACCGGCGAAGCACTTTTGGGAACTGTGAGGAAACCGTCCTGCAGGTGACGGACCAGCACTGGGTGAAAAAAACTATGGAAATGAAGGAACGTGATGAGGCTTTGAAGAGTTATTCTGGTTTACAAAGTCACTCCATACAGTAAGTGTATGAGCAGTGATGAAAGCACAGGAAACTTTTGTCTGGTGAAACTTTGAAATTACCTTCAAATCCTGGATCTTATTATATTAAGACATTTTTATAATCTTTGGGTTTTGTTGATCACTGTGTGATGTTGCACCATTAACTGCATATACTGCAGATTTACTCTTTCAGAGCCTCGAGTCGTGTCTTTGAATCCAAAAGTTCACAGACTTCAAACTGTTTAATGCCTTGCTTTAATGTCTATTTTATTGGAATCGCACTAACTTACTTTGCTGTGTACTTTTCTGGAAAAATTGGACACTAATTCATTCATTTAAAGAACGACTTCATTTCTTCTGTATCATTTAGTCCAAAACAGTCACACGCTATAAAAAAATATAATCACAACTTTCACAGTTCCCTAATTTCTGGCACACAAATAACCGATGCATGCAATCCATCCTGGTAGCAGGTTGAATTTAATTATTTTTATTAATTTTTATTTATTAATTAATATTCAATATTTTCTTAATATTATTTAATTTGATTGCTCTTTTATCTTCATGCCACCTGGGTATAATGTAAAAAGATGAAACTGTGAAGGTAAATCACAAGAGACCGAAGCAAGTTCACCACAGATACTATAGGAATCTGCATGGATGTAACATATACAGTATGTAGAGCAAGGGTGTCAAACATAGGCCGGCGGGCCAGAACCGACCCACTTACGATGTTCTTTCCGGTCAGCTTGATGAATTTTGAAAATAAAAAATAAAAAACACTTCATGTTCTGGATATTTTTAAGGTAATGATTTATAGTTATGTTGTGATTGTACTGGTCCGGCCCACTTAACAGCTAATTAGGTTGTATGCATTTAAATTTAATGGGTGAGGCTTATATTCAGGTGCGTTCAGTAGTCCAGATATTACAGTATTTTGAGAGTACTTGTTACTCTGTAGATAATACTGCCGACTACAGCAGCATATGAGCGATGCTGTACTGTGTGTAATGTACAGTAGAAGTACACAACCTGTCATATATGACTTTACTTTGTCTGAGTGCCATTTTGACCCCTTCGCCAAACCGGGTACATAATGAAGAGAGTTCCAGCTGGTGTGTGGATCCCTGGGGAAGGAGGTGAGAATAAAGCCTGCTGGAGAGGCTCCCATCTCCCACCGCCACCT